AAGGAGGGAAGACAAGATGGCTGCCTGGAGCTCTTCTGTCACAGACCTCATGAGGACATCACTGAATAAACCAAGGATGAAGGGAAAAATTTCCGTCAGGTAGAGCCAAGACTGGCGAAAGGCAAACAATTCTTAAGTCCCACCAAGAAAAGATGAGGAAAAAGCCAAAATGTGAATAAAAATAAAAAGTAGAAACTAAAAAAATGATCAAAGATCAAATTCTGGTGAAAAAGTATAGTTCTACAGAGAGTGACAAATTAAGACGAGAAATAGAGAAGTTGGCCATTATTAAATATTTTGAAGGTAAAGAAAATAAACATATGAAAGCGTACTGAAATTGGACTTTGAAGAATGTAGTGTAGATAAAGAGCCTATAGAAAATACTTAAATAGAAAATCTTTTTGTTATTGAGATTAACTTCGGCTCTACTTGAAAGCGTTATAATTGTTTTTGCAAGCTTTCTTTTTTGGAAAATAGAAATATTCCTCCTTTTCTTTTCCTGCACTTGCCCTTTTTTCTACGAGATGCAACAAAATTTCAACATTCATTTCCCATAATCTCATCTTTATTTTATCTTTATTTATTTAGTGAACTTCTATGAGACCCCTTTCACCTGGACATGACATTAAGTGGCTTACAATCTTGTAAAAGAAATATTAAAACATCAGGGCAAAATAGTAACATTCAACTAGCTTAAAATGGACAAAGATGGGGAGGCGGCAGCAAAATGTGTGGGAGGAGGGGGGTATCTTATCTTAGTGTGTTAAGGATCTGCAGAATCTTAACCATATATCATGATATGTAATTTAGAGTTAATATTACCTGCAATTTTGCGTTGAGAGTGGAGGGTGGGAATAATAAAGTGACCGTTGTTGCTGGAGGAGCGTACATGCCAGTGCTTCTCCAAGCCTCATTTCCTAAAAACAAAGTATAAAAACTTTCAGAGGGTCATGTTTATACACATAAATGAAAAATAATGTCCTGCACACATAGGTTATTATCTTGAAAGGAGCACTTCTTATTCAAAATTAAACAACATTCCATACCTGTATTGCTTCCATTTACTTGAATGTTTTGAGGAGGTGCCGTAGGATAAGAGCTTGGATAATTTGGCATCAGGCTGGGTACTAAGCCTTGAAACTCTGGTAGAACTTTATAGAGCACAGAAGCTATTCGAAGTAAAATGGCTTGGTCTGAATTAGCTTGGATTAGGTTATGTACACTGACCTCAGGAATCCCTTTAATTTGAATCAAGCCTAGAGCTTCTTCATGAATTGAAGAGAATGGACGGGCGTGCGTAGCTGGGATCTCAAGGAATATGGTAAAGTCTTGAACCAACCTCTGGAGCCATAAGGAATATGGTGTTTGTAGAATCTGTTCATTTTGAATATGTTCCTTAAACTTCAATAATGCTTTTCGGAAAAGATAAGTGGAAGCTACTTCACTGGGCTCTCCAGCAGGACAGCTGTTTTCAGCTACGTGAAAATAGCTTTGAATAATCCCAATTCCAAATTTATTCAGGATCTTATTTCCTGGATATTCTGCAATAGCACTGGAGTCAGGATTCACAGAAGCCCAATACCAAGACTGACCTCCAATTAGGAGTCCTCCTCCTTCAGAAACAAATTCGTGGATGCTTTCCATCTCTTTGGCGTCGTAGGCCATACAACAGTATATGCCTAGGCCTTCTTTAAAGTTGGTTAGCTCACAGGGAATCTTTGCTTGGTTTAACATGGAGTAAAGTTCCCGTAAGCTGTCTCCAATGCCCACTTTTCTTTCCTTTCCAGCAGAAAGCCAACTGATGGCATTGAGGAGAAAAGTCTTCATTGATGGCATTTTGAGGAAGCCTTCATGAGAGGCAACTACAATGCGTCCTCGACCGTAGTATGCAGCTGCCAGGAAGGAGTGGTAGGTATCACTTATGCCAACTGGAAATGCCAAGGCTCCATGGATAAGCAAGGGAGATGGAACCATTTGATTCTGGAGGTCATCGCCCTTTACATTGAATCTCTCCACTCCTTTCAGAAGAGTTTGTAAATCCTGTTGAATATTTAAGCCATGTCTTTAAAAAAAACAGTAAAATTATATTTTCCATGGGTACGATAGTCTTCAGACTAAAATCCTAACATTGGAAGAGTGGCTTGAGTAAATATGAGCTGTAATATCAAGTATCAGCGTTGCAAAGTGGAGAAGGAGAAGAGGAAGGAGAAGAAAAGGAGGAGGATAAGGAGAAACAGAAGGGGAAGGGGAAGAAGGAAGGGGAGAGGAGAAGAAGGAGGAGGAGGCAAAAGAGAAGAAGGAGGAGGAGGAGGAGGCTAGTGTGCTGCTAAATGGATACTGGATAAGAAAAGCATTGAAAGCTGAATAGACACTTGTTCAGATTCCTGTGCTGAACCTCCCCAAATTTCTTATTATAATATTTTTGTAAGGTAAAAGCATAAGAACCTCCGTTTCCCCAAATTGAAGGCAATGCTTTTTGGTATAATTTTATTGGAAGAATTGGATGGAAGCCTCATAGATCTTCCATAAAACCAAAATAATCTGCCTGCTTAAGAAGCTGTCTGTTGTTCTATTGGTCCTATTTCATCTATAAGAGGGTGTTTGTCATTTCTGACAGGGAAGAAATATAAATTTTCTTTTAACCCTGAATATGTTAAATTTAAAGAATCTGTAGAAATAATTCCAAAATAAATGCATCATTTGTGTTTTTGTCAAATAATTGAGGAAACCAATAAGGCTGGATGCATTTTCCCCAGTCCACTCAGTTCAAGCTGGGTGAATGAAATCAATTTATACAGTCATGATATATGAAACTGAAAGTCTTTTCAATTTGAGGGACATTGGACTTTATTGTAAAGTTCCATATCCTTGCTTCTAAAGCATAAATAGAAAATACAACAATAAAATGTCAACAAATTATCAATCCCCTTGTTAATGATTATTAAATTAGATACATGATAGTTTGTTCCTGCCTTCCCAATCTAGAAGTACAATAATCCCATCCTCCATGGAGACTGCTATACAAGTTAGCGGACACCATATTTAAAAAGCCCATGGCATACAATCCAACATTCTCAAAAATAATTTTTGGAATGAGACAATTGGTTAATCTGGGGTAGCCCATTTTGCAAACTTGTATTCACTTGGCTAGTGTCCTGTCAGTGTGTGAGAAAGTTGAAGGCTGTTTGGAAACTGGAATAGTATTTGCTATGTGAACAAGGAGACAGCAAGGAGCCTGGGAGTGGCTTAGCTCAACTGTTCTGTACTAAAGCTGCTTGCTGCTGTGAAACTGAAACTCCTCTCCTCTGCTTGTGTTTTGCATTTGGAACAGATTTCTTTTCAGGTGGGGAGAGGGAGTAGAACTCCTTAGCATCAGAGAATGTTAATAATAATATAGGAAATACTCTAAATACTCTGATGGTCATTTTGAAAAATCCCTTTCTTAGTGAGCACCTAGTAGCTAAGAGGAACATAAGTGCCAAATTTCAAGTTTTGGGGTTTACAGTTCTGGAGATTTTGTGATGATGCGTGAGTGGTATTTCATTTTTATATATATAGAAGATTAATAACCACAGAAAAAAGATGGATTAATACTTACTCAGTGATGAGGGGAATCCTAGGAATTTTTTCAGGCACAGAGAAAACACCATTTTCTCCCACATTGCCAGTGAAATACACTCCAGCCACACTGGTCATCAGGTTTCCAGGAAAGCGAACCAGGACTGCCTCCTTCCCATGTTGATATGACCAGTACCAAGCTTGACCACCAATGAGCAGTCCACCGCCTCTCTTCACAAACTGCACAAGGTCATCAACTTGCTTATCCTCATAGACATTTCTGCAGAATACTCCAAGGGAGTCCTCAAGTGTTGCATCTGGTTGAACTTTAATGCCATTACTGAGGAGCAACTCAGAGAGGGCACCTAGGCTTCTGTGGACTCCTATAAGTGCTGTTGTGGAAGGCCTGAGCCAGGTCAGAGCATTTTTAATGAACGTCAAGAACTGGGGAAGCATTAACATGGATTCATGGGCAGTGACCACCATCCGGCCTTTCCCATATTGGGATGCAGCTATGAGAACGTGGCCCTTGGAATCTACAAGCACTGGGAAGGCTTGATCTCCTATGAGCAAAAGCTCACAAGGATTGAAACCTCCTGTGACATCGATGGACAGAATGCCCCTTACTAAAGAATGGTAAGAATTTTGGGGATCCATTAGAAAGTTGTGCCGCTGGATCTGGAAAAAAAAAGCTTAAATTTTATGTTGCATATTACAGGACATGCAAACATTCACAAAACCATTCAGATACCTATGAGGTGTCAAGTGGGGGCTGTGATTTTTCTTGGAGTATTGCTGGACATTATTGTACAGCTATATCATTTCTATACTACTAGTTGTGCTCAGTTTCTAACACACTTTTTTTTCATTCAGATTGATGTTACTTTAGAGTCTCTTGTAATAGTTTTTGGAAAATCAGAGATGATCAATGATTGCAAAAGGCAAATGTTTCTGTCTTCAAAAACACAGAAGGGCAAAGACCCAGATAACTACAAAACAGTAGTGGGATTCAAAAAAATTTAGTACCGTTTCTGTGGCATGGCTTGGTGGGAATGGCAGGGGAAGGATACTGTAAAATCTCCACTCTCACCCCATTCCAGGAGGTTACTGCAAAATCCCATTCCCTCCCCACCCCACTAACCTGCTTTGCAGCTCCGTTCTCCTGTGCAGGGCAACCAAAGAAGACCCAACCAATCAGCTGGGACTCAGGAAGCAGAGAATAGATAGGGACGGGACCAGAAAGAGGAGATATTGTGAACTACTTAAAATTTCCACCAACGGTTCTCCGAACTACTCAAAATTTCTGCTACCGGTTCTCTAGAACTGGTCAGAACCTGCTGAATACCACCTCTGTGACAAAATAGTATGACTGTCATTAATACCAAGAAAAAAATTCTGGAAAAAGATTATTATGAGGCAGTTTGTTAGAAAAAAATACAATGCTCTGCATTTTGATTTAAACATGAATGATTTAGCTTACCTTTTCTGAAGCTCTTGAAACTTAGGTGGGCCTCCTTGAAGTGCCTCCCTCTAAAGTGAGGCTAAGCATTTCTGGGAACATTATTTATAGATTGTTGGAATGGAAATTGTGGGTGGATGACATATTCATTTCATTAGTTGGAGCAAATGCAGAAGATTTTTTTCAAGTGCAAAGGAGGAGCCACAGTTCAGATTTCCACAGAACTGTTTTGAAATCCAAAGACGGGAAAAAACAGGCTTGATCCTTATCAAATTTTCCATTGCTATTTTGATTTTACTCTAATTGATCCTGGTATTTTTCTGAGCCAGCTTCTGGGACTAGGAATGAGCGACACTTTATTGTGTTGGTTTTCTTCCTTTCTCCACAGTCAGGTCCACTTAGCGTTGACAGAGGGAGTGAGATCCCCTTCTCAGCTGGAGGAGTAAAGAAGCTCAGGGCAGTGGAAAAGGGGACTAACTCCACCGAACCTTGCACACTCATCCCCTTTTCCAGCTGCCCTGAGCTCAGAGAAAGCTGGACCGCCCTTGCCAAAGACGCTCACCTGTCAGACAGTCTACCCGCCCATTCCACCCACCTTTGCTGCACTTTGGCTGAGCCTGGCCGCTCACTTGAGGAGGGTATCCTTGTTTGTGTGCATCCTCCTGGCCCTGCAACAGTGGGCCAGGGGGTCATGTGAAAAGGAGGAGGAGGAGGAGGGTCATCTTCAGCAAAGCCACCACTGCATCTCCTGCTCACTCTTCAGCTGCGGACCTGTCCCCCTTTCGGTCATACCCTCCTCCCAGATCCCACCCCCCCACCACCCGTGTTAATGAGGTTGATGTCGACTACGGCTGGGTTGGGCCAGTGTCTCGGAGTGGAAAAGCAGGTTGTGTGACCAGGTTGACAGGGAACCGCAGGAGAGGGGTTAAAGAGCCACATGTAGCTCAGGAGCCATGGGTTGCCGACACCTGTCTTAGATTCATGGCTCCTGCTTGAAGAGCAGATAGCAGCCATATAGAAAGGCCTTGGCACAGCTTCATATTATGCGTCTGTTGTGCCCCTTTCTGGACCACGAGCCTCTACTCAGTCACTTATGCCCTTGTGACCTCTACTGCAACACACTCTACATGGGGCTACCCCTGAAGAGCATTCGGAAACTTCAACTGGTGCAGAATGTGGTTGTGCGAGTGGTAAATTGTGCCAAATATACAAGACACATAATGCCACCACTACTGCATGGGCTGTATTGGTCACTGGCATGTTTTCAGATGGAATGCAAGGTGCTGTTGTCACCTTTACAACCCTATGTGACTTGGGAACAGTTTTCTTGAGGGACTGTCGCTTTCTGAGAGTCTCTACCCATCCAATTCGATCTAGCAGGCTGGACATGCTGCTGGTCCCATCAACCAAAGAGTATCCACTGGCCAGCACTAGAAGATGTGCTTATTCAGCAGTAGCTCCTGGACTAAAGTAGCCTCTGTATTAAAGCTGGTTGCTGCTGTGAAACTGAAACTTCTCTTCTCTGCTTGTGTTTTGCATTTGGAATCCAAGTATTGAATTTCTTAAGTGGAAAATCCCCCATTTGTCTCACTACACTTTCAAATAGGTACGCTCCCATCAACTCGACAGCGGCGTTCGTCTCTGGGGCCTACATGTAATGATGAAGTCATTATTGACACACAATTGTCTTCTGGTTCTACATTTGGCCGTGCATTGGCAGGGGCCGTTACAGGAGTCCTTACTCTAGGCTCTTATCCTGGCATAATTGCTCAAGAAAACAGATGATCTATTCTTGGTCTCACCTGCAGACTTGAAAAATCCATCAATGCTACCACTGCTATTATTCATGATTTGCAGCATGAAATAGAAGACTTAAATGAAGATGTCTTACAGCAGCATTTTGCCATAGACTATCTATTAGCCTATCAGGGAGGGTTCTGTACATTAGTTGGACGCTGTGGATGTGCTGTGCATTTTCATTCTTTGAATAAAGCTATTGAGGATGAGCTTGCCAATTTACAATCATACATTTAAAATAATATCCATGCTCATTACTCACCTTTTGAGTGGCTAACCAATTGGCTCCCTGATTGGATTTGGCTCAGACAGGTTTTCTTTTATGATATAATTATTATTATTCTACTAATTGCAATCTGTTGTTTTATTCAATGTATTCCAAATTTATTCGCATTATTTCATCCTGCTTCCCCCTCTCTTAACCCTCTACAATTGCAATGCATTCATAAATCTTTGAAGCCTCCATTTAAAATAAAAAACAAGGATATGTAGAGTTGTAATTGCAGGAATGTTCCAATCTTGGATGGCAAACTTCAGATAAAGAATGTTTCCAAGCAAATACAACTCAGGCAAACAAAGTCACTAATCTAAAGGAGGATTAGAGAGAGGAAGTAAACATATATTAAACTTTAACTAGAGATAATTAATTGTATGGATTACTGTGCTGAACAGTAATGAAAGTTAAGCAGTAACCAAAGTTAACCAATGATGGAGGATAATTAAAAATGTGTATAAATGCAAGACTATACTCCAATAAAGATCATCATGATTCAGTTGTTCATAATCAAACAACTCGACTGCCTCGTCCTTACAACATCAAATATACAAGACACATAATGACACCACTCCTGCATGGGCTGTATTGGTTACTGGCATGTTTTCAGATGGAATGCAAGGTGCTGTTGTCACCTTTACAACCCTATGTGACTTGGGAACAGGTTTCTTGAGGGACTGCCGCTTTCTGAGAGTCTCTACCCATCCAATTCGATCTAGCGGGCTGGACATGCTGCTGGTCCCATCAACCAAAGAGTATCCACTGGCCAGCACTAGAAGATGTGCTTATTCAGCAGTAGCTCCTGGACTAAAGTAGCTTCTGTATTAAAGCTGGTTGCTGCTGTGAAACTGAAACTGAAACTTCTCTTCTCTGCTTGTGTTTTTAACAAGGGGTGGGTGGGGTTGGGTTGGATGACCAGGAGAGTTCCTTCTTCGCTAAAATGCTTGCTCATAACAGTTATGTTTAAAGACTTGGTTAAGCTGAAAAACATGTCACCACAAATATTTCCTACCTGGCTGCTTGCTGTAAGGTTTCCTGTTTCCATAAAATAGTTGAACGGCAAGTTCAAAAGGACATTCACCATAAATTGTATTGAAAAAGGAAGTGCCTTGTTCTTCTGACTCCAACTCACCAGAGAGGGATTCAGAATTGCCTGCTTTTGCAAAAGTATAATAAAATTCTTGTTTGTTGACTGTATCTCGTGGTCCTGAAAATTTGTTAAGAATTTGGGATCACCTAAATCTGACACTGCCCATATTCAATAGAATAACCTCTTCAGCTAACAAATAGTTTACAGGTCCCATTTCCCCATATTGGATCAGTGATTAAAATAAGGTTGGATTGTTTGTGTGTGTGTGTGTGTGTGTGTGTGTGTGTTTGTTTTCCACGTGGGCTTAAAATCTTCAGTTCTGTAGACTGCAAGAATAAGGATTCCCCTAAGAAAGATAATTTTTTTAAAGGTAGCAACCAAATAGTGGAGCTGAAATCCTCCAAAGGCAACAGCTAAAGAAGGCTTTATGCTGTCGCTGAAAACTTCTCCCTGTTCATTCATTTTAGCAGACTCAGTTTTGAGTAACACATCTCCCCAATTCCAGTGTCCTCTGATGAGGATGAACTTGGCTCCTGGGCCTTCAAGAGTGCCGGTACTGTATCATGGGATCGTCAGCCCAGGTGGGCTTAGGATAAGGCCAGCTTCTCAGAGACACTGTCCTCAATGGGCCAACCCCAGGTTATGAAGAAAGGACCGAGGTTTCTGTTGACTTCCTGAGAGAAGGTTACAACCTTAAATTATTGGGACAAAAATCCATTATTATATGTAGGATTAATAACCATAGAAAAAAGTCGAGTAATACTTACCCAGTGATGAGGGGAATCCTGGGAATTTTTTCAGACACAGAGAAAACACCATTTTCTCCCACATTGCCAGTGAAATACACTCCAGCCACACTGGTCACCAGGTTTTCAGGAAAACGAACCAGGACTGCCTCCTTCCCATGTTGAGATGACCAGTTCCAAGCTTGGCCACCAATGAGCAGTCCTCCACCTCTCTTCACAAACTGCACAAGGTCATCAGCCTGCACATCAACATAGGCATCTCTGTAGAATATTCCAAGTGTTGCACCTGGATGAACTTTTAATACCATTACTGAGTGAGGAGAACTTGGAGAGGGCATTTTTAAGGAATGGCAAGAACTGCTGAAGCTGTACCATGGCTTCATGCGCAGTGACCACCACCCGGCTTTCCCCATATTGAGCTGCAGCAATCAGAACCTGCCCATTTGAACCCACAAGTAGTAGGAAGGCTTGATCTCCTATGAGCAGAAGTTCACAAGGATTGAAATCTCCCTTGACATGGATGGACTGAATGCCTTGCAGCAGAAAATTGTAATCATGTTGGATATGTCTCGGGCTATCTGTTGGTCTGATAGAGAGAAAGAGAGTGAAATACCTCTCCCATGTTGACTTTTTCTGCACTTTAGAAATCTTTTGTGGTACACATCTTCGAACAAACTCTATTACTGAGGAGATGTGGCATTGAAAATGCCTTATCTTTCCTTTTCTACTGAAGCATATTTAGAGAAAACAAGTATCCAAGGATACTGTACCCAACACTGAGGATAACAATAGCACTTAGACTTATATACCACTTCACAGTGCTTTACAACCCACTCTAAGCTATTTACAGAGTCAGCATATTTCCCCCAACAATGTAGGTCCTCATTTTACGGCCCTCAGAAAGATGGAATGCTGAGTCAACCTTGATCCAGTAAGAACTGAAGGACCCTTTATTTCAAGACTAAGCTACAAATATTCTCCTTTATTGGCACTGCAACTATTCTGAAATTGTTTATTCACCCAAAAAAGGTTGGATTTCTCTGCCTATCTGATTAGAGTGTTCAAAAATGTTAGTTGCATTTGAAATTGGCAGAGGAAATGGAGGAAAATGAGAGAGAAAAAAGTTGGGAATCTGTACTGAAACTTCCGTTCCACTACAATCACACTTTGA